TCTCTCTCTCTCTCTCTCTCTCTCTCTCTCTCTCTCTCCTCTGAGGAGTCGGTGAAACTCTGATGAAACTCTGTCACAGATCCTCGTTTGTTGTCCTTTTCTCCCTCTTCGCCTACGGTTTACCGGGCAGTTCTGTTTGACGATATATCTACATATATTGTGACATCTCTACCAACTAAAAGAGTGCACTATGTGATGCAAACAAAAGAAAAAACATGAAGCAAACATCAAGAGCACACTGAAACTGTTCTTTTGCCTCTTTGTATATCGTCCATCCTTTCCTTAGTGTCGCCTCTTCGATTGTTTCTTGTTTAAGCTCCACATTTACTGTGCCTCTTGTATACAAGGCTCGGCACGTTGATGAAGTTGAGCGCGAGCTGTCCGCATCCCCGTGTGCCATAATGGCCCACTTGTATGCTGTGAAAAAGAGGCAGACTATGGGGAGAGGAGATAGACGGACGAAAAGATGGAAAGAAGACATAGCAAAGGAAGACAAAAGGAAATTAAGGGAAAGTAAGGAGTGTGGAATGAAGATGAAAGCATAGGAAAGGAGAACAGAAGGCTCAAGAATCAGTCTGTCCTTGAAGGCAAAGAGCACATGCATTCTAAGGATGAGATGGATGAGGGCATGGAAGACCTAGCTGAGCATTCTCAGTACAACTATTGCCAGAACGGCTGGCAGTGACCCTGGCCACCACGGGCTTTCGACAAACAGCCTGTCGATTGCAGGCCAACATGCAGGAAGAATGGGCTCACATTCAGTATCACACCCATGCCAGCAAAATGGACATATAGTGTCCTGATGCAGAGGGTGCCTGCAGTCAGGAAAGGTGGGACAATCTGTACAGATGGATGCGGTAATCATGTCATTGTAGTATTGCGAGAGAGGCAATGACAGTTGCCACCAAGTGTAAAAGTGTTTCTAGCTGTGCAAAGGAGAAGGTCACAGAGTCTTCATACTTATCTTGCTGCAGCACATGAGCAGAGAAATGATCTTGCACATAAAAGAGTGTGTGGATGGTTTTGTGTGGCAAGAAAACAGCATCGTTATGAGGTTGTGTGC